TTTGTTTTATTTTGGGTGAACTTACATTGACTCGTCTTATGTGTTTAAATCAACACAATTGTGTGTGATGAGTAGTCATGGCTTTTCTGTTTTCTATGGAATCTAGTGATTCATGTCTCATTGTGTTCAGTTTTAACAGTGTCCCCTATGTTTACACAGCAATTCTGTTCTTCTTTGAGTATCAATTTTTTTTTCCAACTCAACAGTATCTTTGATTGGTAACAAAAGTTACCAATGATTTAAGTAGAGTTTCGGATTCATAAACTCGAAAATCTTAGCAATCATGAATAAATCTGAATTTTTAGAATTTGAAGTTAAAATTACGATTTTGAGTTAAATGTGCTTTGTCAAGTTGATAACTTAAAACTAAGCTCAAAAGTCATAATCTTGGAAAATGGCATGTATTAGAGGTTGAATTCACATTTGTTAGGTTAAACTTTTAAATCACATCTGTAATATTTCTTACTTAATAGCATATCCCTTGATATTGAGATTGATGTATCATAATACCATTTTCTTTTACTCTTCATATATAAAACATGGGGACAATAACCATATGTTTTTTTTTCATGTAAACATTTGGTCATTACAAACTTTGTTTTTTGGGGGTAAAAGGTTACATTACAAACTTGGTTACAGTCTCAAGCATAATCCAAAATTACACTTAGAAAAAAGGGAACATTTTGGAGTTAGACTTAAGATGACAATTGGAGTTTGGGAATAGAGTAAGCATCTTCATTGCGTTAGAGTTTGGGAATTTTTTGTGGTGTGTGAATAGCTTATCTTTTGTATATGTAAATTTATGTAACAAAAAAAGAAAAATGCTAGCAATTGAAATAATTTTGTAACCAAACAATAATTGAAGTTTGTATGGTTCTTTATGTCTTTTCATCAAGAGAGAATATTCTCTCTCAATCTACGCACGTTTTTTTCGCCTCTCAAGATGTAACGAATTATTTTAGGGGAGATTTACTTTAGTTTAGATATAAAACTACYACTCAATGAAATTAAATTTCCCCATCAACCAATTGCTAAACATTAATGACACTGAATATATGAAGTCTACTCCGTC